TTGGTTTCACGATTCCCAGTCAATTGAAAAGCATTCGACCTCTCCTCCAGCATTGAAACCAACCCACAAATGTGGCAATGACTCAGGCCGTGTTCAGGTGTTGGTGCATACTGGGAGGGGGTGAGGGTTTGATTCAGAAAATAGTTTAAAACGAGATCAATTAAATCATCCTGACAGTTTTCAGAATGAATCGTCTAGAAGCTGGTAAACGTTCTTTTTTTCATCAGGGCACAAAAGCGGTTATATAAGGCATGGTGATGGCACTTTCAATTTTACGCAGAGCTTTATTTACTTGTCAGATTGTTATGTTTTTGTCAGCATTTAGAATAACTTTTTATCGAGGCATCTTACTTTATTTTCACCATCTTACATTAAGAAAAGCCAACACGCACCTGAAATTTTTCGTGACTTCTATTTCCTCGGCCAAAACAACATTATTTTCACTATGGATATAACATCTCTTTATACTGTCATTCCCGATGACGAAGGTCCCGGGCCCTCAAACATTTTTTCGATCGTCGCACTGTTAAGGAACCTAGCTCTGAAACACTACTCCGTTTGGCCGAACTAGTACTCACGCTCAATTGCTTTTCATTCGGCGGTAACTACTACAAACAAACTAATGGCGTGGCCATGGGCATCGTGGCCATTGGTCAGCTTTCTAATTGTTTTTACGTCTGTCAATTTGATGCCAAAAGGACATCAGTATAAGGGTTTGTAGCCAATGCTTAAACAAATAAAAAGACGCTGATTAATATCAGCAAGCCTGCAATATGCCATGAATATTGGTCTTAGGATTCTTTGGTGCAACAGCTGTCACTTTAACATCTCAATGTGGATGTCCGCTATGACAACAATGCACTAACGCAGTTAAACGATTGTATCAGAGGCTTATTACATTTAGGACTTTATTACATTTAGAACCAAACGTTTGTACATTTAGGACTTTATTACATTTAGGACAGTTACTACATTAGGCCTTCAACCACGCTGAATAATCACGGACATAGTGCGTTTATTTCGAACCTCTCTTTTTAAATTATTTGGTTAACACGTAAACAGGAACCCATTTTCACAATTTATTAAAATTTATACCAAAACACTATTTGAAAGGGTTTTTTTGGTATCAATTTTTAATGATATTTGTAGGTTTTCAACACCTTCATAACCCACATATGACATTTTGTTTCTTTTGTCACAGCGCAGAATTTCACGAAAATCTTCTGATTTTCCTTCTTGCCAAGTCATCTGTAATGTCAATTGATTTTTCGAAGGCACGTTTTTCGTTAAAAAGCAACTTCCCTTACTCCAAAACTGGCATTGATATATTCCAAATTTTTTTCATTGACACTGCAGTCGCAAACTTGTCAACTGGAAAACTTATAAGTTACACTTCCTTTATTCTTAGTTACTATTTCCTCGCACTCTAACTCGTAGTATCATCAATTTTCAAGGAAAATAAGCGACGAAGAGAAAGGAAGATAGGAAGTGAACGATTTTGTTTGTTTGTCACAGCTGAACACAGGCGGCCCAAGCTCCAGCTGTGAAATAATCATCATAGCGAAATTATAAGAGTTTGTAAAAGAATACTTACGATCGCTCTTAGGAATAAAAAAAGTAAGTAAAATTCTCAATAAAAACACCTCACCTCATATAAGAGAAGCCCTGAGGGCTTCTCTTACGTACGTGATAAACCTAGAAATGAATGCTCGTTTGTACGTCAGGAAACTGGGAGCAGCTGGAATCGCTCGAATTCTATTGGTTGTAGTCAACATTTCAGTCGTTTACAAGTCGCATCAGAAGCAAGGCTAAATATCTCACACCAGCGACGAGACCTCCTCTCAACATGTGTTTTGGTCTTCTTTGTCCCCTTCTATTTGAACTCTCTGCTCTAATTCCAAATCTATCCTTTTCACAAGGTTTGTAAGATACGTTTGCATCGTGTCTCTTATTGCTTCAGTGTTAGAACACTGATGTTGGTGTAATTCATTTATTCATAGTAATTCAACTCAGAATCTGGATACAGGTTCGATGTGCCCTGAATTCTATCAGTCTTTGTTTTTTGTTATATTTTCACTCGGCTAATGTAGGCGTTGAATGCTCTTTAGAAAATTGTTTCGACAATATGCTTTATAACTGATAGCTTGGGACGCTGTTGAATGGAACAATCTCAACGTTTAGTTAACTTCCTTTCACATATATTTGCTGTTGTGAATTTGCATAATTGAAGTCAATATGTTGCCCTTTAACGTTTAGCACCTCAACTTGGTTAAATGCAAATTTAGGACCAAATGTTAAGAAATTTAGGACAGTTATTACATTTAGGCCTTCAACAAATTTAACACAGGCAACAAAAATATTTAAAAAGTATGTGGTTACCCTGAAAACATGTCGCTGTCGCCAACTTGCTCTTGTCGCGTAATGTAGATTTCTCGTGGGTACCCTGGAAAGGTTGGGCTAAACATTCTTTCCAGATATAAGAGGTTGTTTTAGTATATACTAAAGCAACTTGCTCTTGTCTTGTAATGTAGATAACGTGGGAACCCTGGAAAAGTTTGTCTAAACACTCTTTCCAATAGTTGTCTTAGTATACACTAAAGCAGCTAAATAATATAGCACAAAAAACTTGATTTTAACTATTTTATTCCTGCAACGATTACAACATTACCTGACGCAAATCCTGCGCGCAAATGCTCAGAGGTTAATAGCAAAAGATATTCGTAATTTGAGTGGGCAATCAGAGCGCACCTTAAACGCTATCCACTGTATAAATCTACTAAAGAGCGTTGTCCTAAATATTCAGTTTATTATTTTTTACATGAAAGTTATTGAAAAACTGTTATGAATAATTTGCCACATAAGTGATTAGTTTCTCGGCTACCGAGTAGGAGTTCTTTACAAACGTGATCTACAACTGAGCCATGACAGTAGGAATGAAATCACTTTATTAAAAGCACCTGGTAAGGCTAATTATCTTCTATGTTATTTGGTACTGTATTCTTTTTAGGTTGGGCAGGTTAGTTTTTGAATAAAGACTATGAGTCGCAGGGAGCTTTGTTCGCTCCACAATCAGTGAAAGTTTTCATAACTAAAGGGTGGTCTTGCAGCCACTTAATATTACGAAAAATGCTTGGTCATGATTGACACTTGGGGTTATAATGAGACGATCGGAAACAGGTTCGTGTAGCAAAAACATATCTTCAATTAGGAACCACCAGGAGCCCAGAAAATTCTAAGACTTTCATGACCACACTGGATGATACAAATATCATTTGTAAGGGTAGCGCGATCAATTCGTCGCAAAGGAAATGAAATCTAGTCTTAGAAGCTAAGGACAAAAAAGTTTTAACTCGTGTTTTTAGTTCTTAAAATTTTGGATGATGAAAGTTAAAAAAGAAACAACGATTTTAAGTACTACACTGCAAAAAACGCAATAAAAGCCTTGAAAGTATCAACAAAAACAAATAGACTGCGCAATGAATAAGAACGTTGACTTTAATCTGGGGTTTAAAGGGTAAACTTTAGTGATCTAGTAGTAGTTCGAACTGTAAAAGATTGAAATTAAGTTCATCTAAACACAAAAGAAGTTTGAGGTATTTGTGGAGCCAGTTATACAAACCTTCGAATGTGTCTCGGGGTTGCTTAACTTTCAAACTTCTCCCTGGTGTTTGGGTGAGACTATGAAGTTCACTGAAAGTCTCCTATTACTTTTAAAAAGTATTTGTCTCAAAAATAGGCGCCAATCTGAAACGTCACGTCAATCCGTCTTATCTTAACACACATGTAGATAAATGAGAATTTACAAGCCTGACATAGATAGTATCGTCTTTAGGTATACTCTAACAGGTAATTTGCCCTGACAACCACAGGTTTACCGAGGAATCGAATGCAATCAGAGACGATAATATCTTTGACCACTATTTTCAAAACTGCTTCATGCGACATATTTTTACCAGTTACCATGTTTTCACAGATGTGCCTTGCCAAGAGGTTCTCTCATTTTGCAATTCAGGCCGATATCCGTACCAACGACACCACCTCTGATAAAATCATTTGCGAGTAGAAACTTTATCACCGAGAGATTTAACTCAATACTCATGCAATTCTCTATCTTGAAGAAATGCCATTGCAAAACCAAAAGGCTTTATTTACTAACTTGAAAGCAGACTCGTAATTCAGTATGTAGCTGTCCACAAGTTTGTTTTTTGTGTGTGTGTGTGTTAATTCTCATGTAAATCGTTTTCGAAATTCCCCCAAAAAAAATTAGTTAATAAGATAGACATTTTGAAAACATTTGAGACCTAGTAAATATTCAAAACTAACCCAAATCGTCCCTCAAATTAATCACACAGAAGCCAATATGGTAACACTTGTATACTAGCCCTTCCTTCGCTTGAAGAATACGATGAGAATCCAACTCAACTGATGGCAAATTAATGTGATTGGAATCTACCAGTCAACGACACTTCAAGTTCATACAAAAGACAACATCTCACTCGAAACGGATTCCTTAACTAACGTTTAACTTTGTATCGAAAACTCTCTCATTTCTCGAGCAAATCATGTTTCTTCCAATGCTGAACGAGAGATAAAGTTATCCACTGAGTTGCGTTTCATTCGCACGAATTAAAGGCTATGGAATAAAGGAATGATAGAAACATTTTCCATTTGGCTCTTATTTCGTTGTTCACTGCTTCCCTCAACAAAAGCGCAACAAAATTTGCTACAAAAAGACAGCGGGAAAAATGAATTGTCAGAGAACTACCACTAAAATCAAAGAATTTCTCCTACAGTCACTCTCTTAATGATTTATTTTGAAGGCTGAATGTTTTTTTTTTTTTTTTTTCGTGAAATGTCTTTTAAAAAAGAGGATTGTGGAAGGGAGCGGGAGGGGGCGAACAGTTGTTCTTATTAACTGCTGTTCTTAATCAGCAGCCTTTGAGAAAAAAGGTTAATTCATTGACGTCCCACCTATCTATGGATTTTGTTTTTCAGGAAAAATGCTGTGGATATTTCGTTATTTTCTTGCTTGTGTTTTGTTCACCAACCTTGTAACCGCCAAGGATCAATGCAGGATGGAAATTAACATTCGTGACATGACTCTCAAAGGCTTCGTTTTCAAGAGAATGACGGTAGCAGCTCCTCATATCTGTGATTTCTTATGTGAAAGGGAAATTATATGCCAGAGCTACAATTTCAACAGAAAAGAACAGATCTGTGAGTTAAACAACCGCACAAAGGACGCAACACCCGAGAATTTCCACTCGGGTCCGGCGTGGTTTTATATTCGTCGTTTGAACGGAAGAGGTAACTATTCAGCCAATAATGTTGGATAATAGTTATCAATATTTTGATCATACGTTCGACTTTGCTCACAGTCTGCGTTTTCTGATCTCCCACGCTCATCGGTATTGATTTTTCTATCATCTCTCAATTCTAATAATGAACGATATTAGTTCTATCCCTTTTCTTTGTAGTTGCTTTGAAGTTTCCCACCAATAACGTAGCCCCATGTTCTGTAGATAAACACACAACCCAAAATTCTTCCACTCGCTCGGACGAAAATTGACGCTCGAAACGTCAGCTTTGAAACTCTTAACGGCGGCCAACTTACGTTATCAACTCAGTTGATAGTACAAAATTATCTTGTTATACTCTCCCACCGAGGCAGCACCCCAGTTTCTTTAGAAACTTACCCCCTTTATTCAGTTTAACTTTTAATTAACTTCTTCACAAAACAGCTTTGATGTATGCGTGAAATAGTGACAACAAATTATTTATTTATTTCTTCTTTAAAATGACACAAAAAGCTTAGGGTCTGGAAAGAAGATAAAAAAGCTGGTGGATCTAAAGGAAGGGTTTAAAAGTGAGGGGGGCCCACTTCCCAAGAGAAACTCAGCCAATAATGTTGATAATAATTATCATTATTGTTTTTTTAGAGGGCACGGTAACGAATCTTGCAATCTGATTGGTTCTTTACCCGGTCAGTATTTTCCTATCTCTGCCCACGGGCCACGGTAACGCGAAATGAGTCGCCGAGTACATCCCAACTTTCGTTGTCATTTTTCATAAATATACCTCGTTTTCCGGCTGGGCAGTATTTTTAAGCAAACACGTCGGTCACTACCTCAAGCCGATAAATAACTTATGAATCCTCTCTTTTCTCTCTATCAAATCACTTTGGTTGACAGAAAAATATTGGTTTCAGAATGAATATGTATAAACAATAGTGTCATTACGTTGGTTGACAAGCGGCCTAAAAACCGTCTGCAATTAATTTTAATCGTTCACAAAAAGGAACCCAGAAAGTTGAAACGTGAGGTATTTGGTTACAGTTAAACTGAACGATGGAACTTTCATTCATTTAATATCTGAATTTTCTCGAGCAATTTGTTCATAGTGAAAGAGCGAGCGAAGTTTTAATTTAAGTTCTACAACAAATATACGCTCCTGGTGAGTCTTTCCAATTCCGTTCAATTTGGACATTTGTACCTTAAATTGCACAACAGAAATTGAAGGAATTTTTTGAGAAAAGGCCGCATTACATTCCCTTGTGTCTCGTTGGAGTGTGCCGTTCGAATCTAGTTTCTGTGAAGGAAAGATCAGAGTTAAACACGCCATTACAGCAAACAAACTAGCAAACTCTCACAACTTCAAAATAAAAAAATTGAATTTACTCACAATTACTTTCCTCGCCGTTTACTTAATGAACAGAGGTAAATCTTCGTACATGAATGAATGGTCGATGAGAGTGAATAATACTTTCCTTTAGATCATTAACTGATTTTGAAGAAAACATTGTCGTGACAGTCCTTGCCAAACTAGTTCTGTTGGTTTTCAAATGTTCCTACGCTTTTTTTTTTCTTGCGCGCTCTCTAATAGACAGGTGTCGGATTGTGACAGATACTTGTAAAAATAATGTTTCAAAGTTTGTTTGGAAGCCTTCTAAATCACCTTTATCGTTACGGAAATGAAAATGTTTCGCTGAGGCATCTCTCTTAAATTTGCATCCCCTTTATTTTAACTACCATTTACCCACTCAAAAATTGTTCAGTTTATGGAAGATCTTGCCGTATTTACGTCCATAAATCATTCGGGTTCTTTCGGAAAGAATTTCGTCAAGTTTAAAAACAATAAATATGTTATTTACCGGCTAAGGGTCGGTCCGTTTGGTGAAAAACTGTGACCTCGGTCTTGAAAATGCTGCCCTCGGCCTATGGCCTCGGGCAGTATTTTCAAGACCTCGGTCACAGTTTTTCACCATACGAACCTCCCAGCCGGCAAATAACATATGTATATTTTGGTCATACGCTCGACTTTGCTTACAGTCCTTGATTTCTGATCTCTCACGCTAATCGGTATTGATTTTTCTATCATTTCTCAATTCTAATAATGAACGATATTAGTTCTATCCCTTTTCTTTGTAGTTGCTTTGTAGTTTCCCACCCAAAGCGTAGCTCCAAGTTCTGCCGATAGATACACAACCCACAATTCCTTTATTCCCTCTGACGAAGGGCTAACGGTCGAAACATCTGTTTTGAAACTCTGAACAGTGGCCAACTTAATAATTATAATTGATAATAATTATCAATATTTTGGTCATACGTTCGACTTTGCTTATAGTCCGCGTTTTCTGATCTCCCACGCTCATCTGATTAACGATATTAGTTATATCCTTTTTCTTTGTAGTTGCTTTGTAGTTTCCCATCAAAAGCGTAGCTCCAATTAGTGCCGATAGACACACAACCCACAATTCCTCCATTCCCTCTGACGAAGGGCTAGCGGTCGAAACATCTGTTTTGAAACTCTGAACTGTGGTCAACTTACGTTATCAACTCAGTTGATAGCACCAAACAAAGTGAGGGGGGCCTACTTCCCAAGAGAGGGGTGCTTGACAGTACGTTTAATTTATCACATTCAAAGGCGGACTTTGAGTGAATGGAATTAGATCCTCATTCTAATTCTCTCGTATTTTTCAATCTCGGCTTTCGACTTGTGCACCTACATACATTTAATTTTCAACATTTTTACCCTTACCAGCTCCCTTGGGTTCGATTCCGGAGTTACCAGCACGTTCATGCCGAGAAATAAAAGCAAGCGAAGGGAAAGACACTGTAAGCAACAAATACTGGCTGGATCCATCTGGCACAGGGAAGGCAGTTTTGGTTTACTGTGATATGAATTTGGAAGGTAAATCATCATTACGTCACCGTTAGTTTCACTTTCTGTTTGAATCGTAGATTCTTTCGATAGCGTCCTTGTTTATTCAAGACTTAAAAAAATTTTCGGCTTTATATATTCAATTTTTGTTTATAAAAAAAGCCAAATAGGGCATAAATACACACAAAGGGATACGCTTAAACTAAAATACACTTTGATAAAACTTTGACCAACATTCTTATTTCAATATTTTAGTTACAAAGCAATAGTCTAATTTGTTCAGAGACAATTCACTCTTTATCTGCATGTTGTGCAGCTGTGATTGTCAATATAGTACAATGCAAAACTATTTCTCTGCTAAATTAATGTTTTTGAAACTTTTACTCCTTTCTCTTTCAATCACCAACTAGATCATGATGAATGTCTCGATGGAAACAATGCCTGCGACGTCAATGCATACTGTACAAACACTTTGGGTTCCCATTACTGTACCTGCAAGGAGGGATACACTGGCGATGGACAGTCGTGTTCAGGTACATTACAATTAATTTAGGCGATGTTCATGCGAATATCTCGATAGCTTATGTTGTCGGCTTACTGAGAGAGCAGTCGAATGACTTATCGAAATGATATGCATTTATTTTGTTGGGGGATGGGAGGGAAAAGGGGGAGTGTAATGAGTTTGGCAAAAACTAAGAAATGTTTTGCGACGACTGAGAAATGTTTTGCGACATCTGAGGAGAGTTTAGCGACAACTAGGAAGTGTTTTGTGACAAATAAAAAATGTTTTGCGACAACTAAGAAGTGTTTTGTGACAAATAAAAAATGTTTTGCGACAACTAAGAAGTGTTTTGTGACAAATAAAAAATGTTTGGCGACAACTAAGGAGAGTTTTGCGACAACTAATTGCGTCAACTAAGGAGGGTTTGGCGACAATTAAGGAGGGTTTGGTAACAGCTGAGCAGAGTTTGGCGACAATTATGGAGGGTTTTGCGACAAGTTAGCAGTGTTCTTTGCCACTTAAGGAGAGTTTGGCGGAAACTGAGGAGAATTTGGCGCAACTAAGGAGAGTTTTGCGACACTTACTAAACCAAATGCAAAAAACTATACTTACAACACAACACCGAAAAACACCTACTACACCCGAAAAAAACCTATTACACCGCACAACACTTTCTATACCAAACTACACCGAATTACACCAAACTTCGCGACACTATACCAAAGTAGACCTACTACAACTATTACACCAAACTACACCGAACTGTACCTACTA